TCGTTTCTAATCGTTTAAATTATGGTCTGAATATATAGTCACTTTTATACTATATTATTATTATTGTAACTGAGTTCCTATAACCCCAAAAATAAATAGTGATCATGTTAAGTAAATCACATTGTAAATGCTCATACCTAAACATTATAAACACAGGCAGTATGCTAATAGGAAATAATATTCTTGGGTTTTGGATGAGCACATAATTATATTATATATTTTCAATTATATACTCACTAATAAAAAAAAATTCAGGTAAACCTTATAAATAGTTAATTTAATATACCAATCATGATTGTTCTATATTTATCACAAGTCACAGCTAGAAGAATAATGTATCAAATAAAACTCATGAAAACAATTTGCTAAAGCTTACCTAATTTATATTTAAAATTTAAATTAGTATTAATTGTGTTGCCTAGTTAAAATAGATATTTAATCAAATTTTTCTTTATGTGAGTATAATAAGTGTCTATCTAATGAAAATCATAGGCACTCATATAAACCCATTCGTTATTAAAAAGTAATATGAATACTTGTATTTAGATACTCAAGTACTCGAATAGGTAGGCACTTGACAAACACTTCAATGTTGTGCAATTTTATATGCTTTAATTTTTGTGGACTGTAGGTTTGATGCATAACATTATTAATTTATTCTGGAAAAAGCCAATCAAGTTTAAATGCTAAATAAAATAATGACAGCTATTGAAAATCAATATAGCTCATAGTTAAGTTTGGAGCATTTTATAAATAGCTTATGGAAATTAGTAGTAAAGTTATGTAATTAAGGAACAAAAAACCAAGTGAAGCACTGTATCACTGAAGCTAAAAATTCCTTCATTGCAGAGGCAGTTTTAAAATACCAAAGAGGTATACGTTACCTATACTGTAGTGGCAGCCGGCAAGTATAATTACACTCATATTATAATATATACTCATAATAACACGTTGCACTTCATTTATTATTTACATACATTGCACGTCATAATAATCATATATTATTCTATTTTACAATATAATATAGGTACGTATATCATCAGAACAAAAATCATATTATGTAATGGCCCTTAATTACCTTAATAGTTGTATGGCACTTATTCAAATTTCTTCACTTACACACTAAAGAATTTTATTTATTTTAATTATTTAAAATATATATATACAGATATAATATATATATAATATTATATGTATTTTAGGCTTTTATTAATAATAGAATAAATACCGATTATTTCATGATACTCATTTTTCAACAGCATTGGACTACGATAACCATAAATTATTTTTTGCAATACATTTTCATTGAATTTTAGTTCTAAAATCAATCATCAGTTCCTCGATGTTCCAGAATAATGAAAAAGAGATAACAAGCCTTAGTGTTAGTCCTTTTTGAAAGTTAATATTGTACAACAATAGGTAATAAGGTTAAATATAAATAGGTAAATATATTAAGGTAAATAGGTTTATAAGAGTAAACAAAATTCTTTATGACAACATTTAATACCTACACTGTGTTCTGGCTGTATTCTTAAAGACATAAGGAAACATTAAAATTGAATTTAGATACCTGATATGAAAACAGTATAGGTATTATTATGTGCCTATTTAAAGAACTCAATATTAAAAAAAATTAAAAACAACCATGTTTTTCCCATTTTATTTTAATAGGATCTTTTTGATTAAACATTTGTCTGTCTTATTTTTTAAGGTCCCATACCCATGATACTATTCCCATATGGCAAAATGCATGTAAAATACACGGGATAATAAGAGTGAAAAGAAGAATTTATTTACGTTGTGTCTCTCGCCTGTGGTGTATTATGGTTCTAATTTATGCGAACCAGAATGTTGGCGCCTCCATGATTTGATTTACGATGGAATTGTATTTAAGGGCAACCCGATCTCATTTTGAATCGTGGGCGAACCACTTTTGAGGTGTACGTACTGTATATATGCCGCAAACGTTTAAATCATTTGTATTTTTTCCTTTTATTATTATTATTTTTCCTTTTTTAAAATTGCCAGACACTCGAGGCCGTTATTTTTTTTAAATGTTCAAAATTACGCGAACCTTGAATAAATCTGAATATAGAAACCTAGTGTACATGTATGCAATGTTGATACTTTATGTATATTGTGAAATATAAATCCCAATGAATTGTTGTTATCTATGTAAGCACTAGATACAGACAGTAACCCCACGCATATAAATATCGATTAATTTGTTTAAAAAAAAAAAACAAATGAAAAGTACAACAATATTTTAATTATGTCCCTATTTTATTTTAAACGGTTTTTTTTAAGTTTACAGTAAACTAAGAGTCAATAGATAGTGATTTGTTGTAAACATTTATTAGTACCAGCTATGCCATATTTCAGTATTATATAGTTAACTTCTCACTGGGAATAATCTAATAAAATTATTAAAATAATATATATAAGGCGCTGTGTAATAAATATACTTTATTAGTTTAATTTAATGTTTAGTTCGATTTCTACAAGCTGTATTAGTTGTTTTACATATGTAGGTACTTGTTATGCTTGCCGTTTAGTTACCAATACTATACGTTTGTATTTAGTTCTTAAATCTTATTATATATATGTATCCTATCAGAATTCAAATCTTTAAATTCTTTATAGATTAATTATGACTTTAAAGACAACTAATAAGGAGTGTAAACCTGGAATTTCGATTTGCCTTTAAGACATACCATGTTCTTCATGTTAAAGTCAAATCAATTAAAACTTAAACTATCCCCACCAGTCGAAATCTAAATTCTATATCAGGTTTGACTTCGGACTATCAATAATTTAGCAACTTTTCCCATTAACATCACATTTCAGCTGCAATAACTATGATAAATATTAAAACATATAGCTACTAGGGCGGATGCATATGAAATAAGTAAAAGCAAAATCGTCACGATAATTTAAATATGGTAGTCGGCAGGTATAAAAGATTAAAGAACAAGATTAAATAATATATCAATGGCCAACCAACAATATAATACAGCTACGTAATCAACGTTCTAGTATATATTATTAAGAATGACTTATTATTTAGTGTTGTAAGTGTTGTTACAATTTATATAGAAAAAAAAATATTGTACCTATATCTAATATTAATATTTTTTAAATATAAGCGTATAAAAATGTTCATGCACATTATTCGACTTACTTTTTCTTCATTAATATGAAGTATAAACATGCTGTGGAGTGTTCAACTCAACAATTTTCAGAATCAAGAATTTCTGTATTCAATAATCACTAACCAGTTACTACCCTAAACCTTCTCCCTCATCCTTAAAATTACTATTCATTGGCATTCGGTTGAAAACAGACCGAAAACTCTGAGACTGTATCAATCTTAAAACACACCCATTCATTAGGTATGTAATTATGATGCATATTTTGAAAACATAAGCATTCAAATATTGATTGTGATTATTCAAGTACACTATCATTAATAAATTCATCAAGCTGTTAAATAAATGGATGATCAAAGCTTCATGAAAAATTAATTATTATTGTGATAGTATAGTGAATTTGTGAAGTATTATTTAAGTATACGCTTGACGCAGTTGTCAATGAAGAGATAAACTTATTTGAAATTCATAAAATATAATAGGTTTACAGTACCAGTAATATCGTTATTTTTTAAATTCGATATAAGCTTAAAATCTTATAAGATAAATAAATACCTATATGATATGATATTTTAGCAATATTATAATAATAAGTAATTATACAATATAATATGATAAACAATATTGTATTAGTTTGTCAAGTATTTGAAATTCAAATATTTTATTCTATTTTTAGTTTGGTTAAATATTTAAACAACCTATAGTCACAAATTCACAATACAAGCTCAACATTAGAGGCAGTTCAAACTATAATACTTTATCTAAAATATACTATGTGTATTGATTTAGAACTTAAGATACATCTGAATTAATACCAATTAAAAATTGGTAGACGGTTTATAAACTCTTGTGAACCTCGTTTTTACACATTAAATATCTTATTGGGAACTAATATCAAATGTAAATTGGTATTCAATTTTACATATAATATTTTCGTAATTTATCCGGGATTGTACAAAACCTCTCTACGAGTCAAGCTTTCATAAAAAAAAAATGTTTGATAATGCAATTTGGCGACACATTGTATTGTAAATCATAAAAATATATTAGTCAAACAATTTATAAACAGTTTAAGTGAAAATATACTTGGTAAATGATAAATTGTATTCAATTATAAAATAATAAAATTATCATCGTGGTTTTGTATATTTGAAAGATTGAATAAAACAATCACTTTTACGCATTATACATTAATTACATCTGGAGAATTATATAAAACTGAATAGAAATTATTAGTACGCAACGTAACACAACATTTAAATTAAATTAAATACAAGATAAACCATCAACAAAAAGGTAAAATTAACTAAAACCTACAGGCTACAAGTGTTGTAGATGTTGACAAAATTGTGACGCTATTTATAAAATGTCTGCTGCATAATGCAGAATAATGTTCTGTATGTTGAATTTAAATAAATTACTAATTGTTATATTATGATATTATTGTCTTGTATATAATATATTTGGATTTTATAAAAAATTATTTGATTTGGAACAATATAGATAATTTAGAGCACCAAAATCACAATTTTGTTTTCACAAATTTTAGTTATAAATATTAATATGAATTGTAAACAGTCAAATCATTAGTTTAAAATATAATGTAACTATTTATGACACTATCAAATTATCAAAATAACAATACTAAATATAAGTTAGATTATAAATCATCACCTTCTTTTTACTCATATTTTACTTATATTATTATTTATCTATAATGTATAAATTATAAACGTCACTTAACCGATGTATATTTTTTAACAGGTAAAGGTAAATTTCCATTTAACAATAATTGTCATTGGATTTTAATAAAAGTATTTTAAATAAGTAAACACACTGTATATTATACACTATAGTTAGTGCCTAAAATTAAATTTCAATATTCAATGTACGTGTCTAGCCAATGCAAATAAAATAAAATGTTGGTAATTAAAATCCATACATTATGCCTGATACGGTATTTTAAATACAAGGAGTTACAATAGATGACATAAATGCACGCAAGAATATTAGGTTGAGGAAAAATTACTTGAAGAATTACTATTTACGACACGATAAAATAATAAGTCGTTTTAAATTTTTAAGTGTTTAGGAAATCCTTTTTGAGTTTTAATCAACGTTAACATATTAATATACTAGGTACACAATTCATAACTAATGCATTTTTTTAATGTTTTTAATTCATTTTTATGTATTAAGAAATTCATTACTAAGAAATGTAATATGTTTTATTCTCATTTAATGAGTACCTACGGATTGCAATCTTTTTTTTATACAAAGAAACATTAAAATCGTTTTATAATATCAGTGTTACAAGTATTTTTCTAACTCACGCATATACATGTATAATATGTACCTCTTACATTTATTAAAGAATATTTTAGTTGATTTTTTTTTATTACTTATTATTATTTGCATGACAACTGAAGAAATGTATGTAACAAAACAACTAATATAAAAAAAAATTAAATAAAGTCCATTGTATATAGAAGAATCAACATTTAAAACTATTTTTTCAGTCCAATTTACTTAAATCGTAAAAGACTGAAAAATATAGCCATGTAATTTAGAATTTAATTTCGATAATTTATTTCCTTATTGTTTAATTTCAGTATTGTTATTTACAATGTCGCAATGCATTTTAATTAGCTGTAGTTGATACAATCTTGCAGTGTTTTATTTTACGACATAAATCAATTGCATACACAATTAAGTACAATAGTTGTACAAAACCACAGAATAATAAATTATGTATATGTTTTACATTTTATTAAGCTTTGCTGTAACATATTATGTTTATATTTTTAGTAACGTACATTTTAGTAACAATTAAAGATGCTCATACTGATATTTTAATATAAACCATGACATAAAACAATTCCATATTAATGCTTAAATTTAAATATTATCCGTATATTGTCAATTGATTAGCATTATTACACAAGTAAATATATATTTAGTGTTTATAATTGATGAACTATTTTCAGTAGTTCTTAATATACTTACAGCAATAATTTAATAATTATACAAATTAATTAAAAATTGTAATTAACACCTTAGTAAATTATTTTAATAAGTATATTAATTACAGCTACATTTCTTACATTAAGTTTCCCTTTTTATTATCATAATATATTTTTATAAGTAATTATTATCAATTATTCAAAAATTGAATACTCATTTATTCGACTCATAATAAATAAATGTATATAATGTTATAATTTATAAGTAATAATACAATTGCTTATAAAAATATATATGGATTAAATATAATTTGAAAAAAAAAATGATATCAGAGTTTGTTATTTTCTAACTACAGAGGAACTTAAACATAATATTAATATAAATGTACTTAAAACGTGACAAATAAAACTGAATAATAGTATAAAATAATTGTTGAAATCAATTAAATGTCATATAATGAACAATTCTGCGGGAATGTTTGATGTTCCATAAGTTATAACCACGTTAATATAAGATCTATAATATTGTAGTTTGTCACAACACATTGATCGAAATAATCATGTTTGAAAACGGCAAACTGCTTAAAACCCAGTTGAAAATGTGTGTATAGATAGACATAAATACTCGATGCATAACAAAATTAATAGGTAGGTGAGAACCAGAGAACCTAAAGAAAAAATATAATAATTGCAGATAGATACACTATAGTAACTCAAATTATGTACATGTTACAAATACAGTGTTATTTTTTTAGTTTCATAAATATAAGAACATAATAAAACAAGGGAAAATGTCTTCAAGTAATAATAATAATAATTAATGTAACCTATACGAAAGCGAGGTAGTGCATGAAATTAATTACTATTCATTACATTTGATGTGAATATATATATATTTATATAGTTTATATAGTAATGCGGTCAAGTCAAGTATCTATACCTTAAATACTGCGAGAATCGCGTGTTTGCAGAGAAATAAGAATATAAAAACTGGGCACTGCGTGAAAGGAATTCGTTTATAAAAGAAAAACGGCTATAATGTCTACTCATAATTGTCGTCCGGTATTGTTTTCGCGTATATACACATTCAGAGATATAATAGAGTTAATAATTGACTAGTGCAGTGTTCCTGTTGCAGATTGTCGTCGGTTTAAAAATGACGTCCCGAAATATAGGAGTCGTCTACATAATATCATATAATTATGATATTCATCTAACTATTATGCACGGATAATAGTATATATAATACCTAAAATATGTGAAGTATATATGGGTATAGAGTATAATGTCATATTTTATTGTTGAGTGTTTTGATGTGAGATGTTAACGAGCATAGACGGATAGAAGACTGATTCTAGTATTTTTTTCCGCTATTGCAGTTGCAATCTCGAATTCTATCATAAGTATAGGTGCATGTACATAATAATATATAGTGTGAGAGTTAACTATTAAAAAGGTATCACACCGGCGATCAAAATAGTGGTCTATGAAGTAGAAAAATCGAAGATTTCGTGATAATAATATTATAGTATTATAAAACAATAATATAAGAACCGATATCGTGTAATATGAAATGTACGAGACGCACACCATAATTTTCACGGTACACCCAAAACGACTGACCGTGCGTGAAAAATGGCGTCTAGTAGGGGACGGGGTTAAAATAATAAAAAAAATAAAGTACATTCCTGCAGTGCATGCGTAGGTAGGTACGTTCGATTAGAGGATATAATTTGAAAACGGATAATAAAACAAAAACGAACAAAATAAAAAATTAAGACGCGCTAATAATATATATATAATATATAGTATAGGTATGCAATGCATTACTTTATGCAACTGGGACGAAACATATAATAATAATAATAGTAGTAGTAATAGTAAAATTATAATATTTTTGCATAATATTATTATATATTATAAATATAATAATAGTATCATATTAACGACGGTGTTGGTCTCTAACTGCACCCGCACCTGTCGACCACCATGCCCGGCAACAGGCCGTAGATGATGTTGAAGTCCTGGTCGAAATACAACATGGATATGGCGGACAGCTTGCGGGGAGCGCAGCACGGACCCGTGCCCGGGTACGTGCCCGACTTGTTGGTGAGCTGGGCGAGGTGGGTGTGTGGGTACTTCTGCAGGAACACCATCGGACACTCTCCCGAACAGTAGTTGGCCTCGTACTTCTTGGGCGCAATGATCCAGTCCCAGCCGAAGTCCTCGAAGTCCACCGTCAAAGGGTACCGGCAGCACAGCTGCTCCTTAGAGTTATCGTCGCAGTCCTTGCCCAGCACATTGCGTTTTGCCCGCGACCGACGGTTGTCTTCCGTGTGCACCTCCAGGTACGGAATCTGCGCAAAAACCCACACGGATCAGTGACGAGTTCGACGGTGTGGAGGAATTCTGGTGGACAGTGGGTGGGCCGGGGAAGTTGGGTTTCGTTTCGTTGATCACGGACCGTGGTGGTTGTCAGGGTATTTTCGTTTCGATCTCGTTTTTTCCACGGTTCCGACCATGTATGATTATATGATGTCCTGCCCATAATATACTGAGGGATTCTCTTAACAGAAAAACTCATCGTTATATCGAAAAGTGTTGTCGCATTGTTTACATGAGATTTAACACTTTGAAGTAGGAAATTAAGAATGTAGGCTGGCATTCAAAAAAGTAAAAAGAATTTTAAACTGATAACAATACAAAATATATAAGTAGTAAGAAATATATAATTTTTCCTGTTCGTATAATGACCCCCCATTATGAAAGAAAAATTATTTAAAAAAACATCAACTATATAGGACCTACCAAGTTATGTAACTCGTAGTAATAACTTTTCGGTTTATTGTTAAAATGATCGCCGCGTGTGTATACTCTACTACCACGTGCAACGTTATTGTATTATAATAATATGTTACAAATTATAATACTTGTATTAATAATATTATACTTTATATTATATTATGCGCATGCCGGCCGACGGTATTGCGTAACGTTTACCGGCTAATATAGTTATTATCATATTATTATTACTATATTTCTCATTGTTATAGAGTCGGTGCCCGTTGGTCGGCGAATGCGATGAATCTACTACGGGACGATTCCATTGGACTGCATCACGACACTTCAACCCGACCGCGGCAATGCGCTGCTTCAGTTATTTAATGAGTGTGTTATGAATACGTCATAATATACACAATGCACCGGTACTACTAACTACCAACTGCAATATTTATATCATTGTAATAGGTATGCATATTACGTCTAATTTATGTATTTCGTGTAAAAAATACCTGCCTATATACATTAAACTGTAATATAAGGCTCCTCTAGATTATATCTATACACGTCATATATATATTATTATTATTATTATTATTATTCGTACGTATTGGCGCGACACAATCGAACCACAGGCTACGACGAGACGACCGGAGCCGCACTTATGAATTAAAATAGTAATAGTAATAATAACAATAATGATGATAAATTATCGATGTTTTTTGTAATATTATATAGTCTCGCCGCCGCCTTTGAGAGGGAGGGCGCCTCCCGGAACGTTCTCGCGGCGACGGCGGCGGCGTCGGCGGCGGCGGTGTATCATACACATGTATAATATTATTATGGATACTGGCGATTTCGATTTATTTTTTTCCTCACTCGTAATAATAAAAAAAAAAAATAATAATAATAAAAATAAAAAAAAAATAGAAAAATGAAAAAAATACGCATCGGTTGGTTTCGCATTGTACTGTCGACGCCGCAACGACGTGCAATATAATATAAAAAGTGTACAACACAATAAAGTAGGTACGACGTCCGACGTATAGACCGGTCGAGGATACTTTCGGTTTGTTCCGTCGCGTCGGATTATTATCGTTGAGAGTTATCGCACGATTTTTACGGACCGTGCATGATAGCGTATATACAGTAAATGCCTCCGGTCCGGTCGCCGCATAAACGCCGCCGCCGAGTGGTATATATACGATGTTATTATATATATATTTTTTTTTTCCATCAGTAAATATAATAATATAAAATCGTATTATCGTAACGTTAAGTTACGTTATTATATACCTATTTTGTATTATGTAGGTACCTACCTACGTACAAACCGATTGGGTTCGCGTCCCGACAATACCGTATGGTTTTATGTAAGTTATTAATATTTATTGTTAAGAGGATCTCAGCGCACTATTTTGTTTTTTCTCTCTCGGGCACACGCGCAACATGGCAAATTTGCAAAATTTCAATCCATCTCGTGTTACTGTGATTTAATGTTTTTTTTTTAAATTTTAAATTAGCTTATGTTTATAATTATAGCTCTCAACAAATACATACTTCACTTTGTTAAAGTGCACTGAGTTTGACCTATTGAAAATTAGTATATGCGTCTGTTCGTTGGCTTCTTTGCGGTATTTCGATGTTTATGTCAACATTTTAAAACGTAATATTTTGAATAAAAATTGAAATATCGTAAGAAAGCCAGTGTACAGATAATTTTTCTAACTTTTAGTTTAATAATAAGACAATAAATTTGCACATTTTGAGCATGGGTCAGAGAGAAAATAAAAATGGCATAATATTAACAGAAAACCAAATTAACAAGTTCGAGTTTATAAACAAATTTCAAATACAACAAATTTAAGAAAAAAAGTCTATAGCATATAATATGTAATTTTATATTTCTAATCAGTACATGTGAGACGCGCCCTTAAAAACCTGGGCCACAATTATTAAAAATCTTGGATTGCTATTAGGAATAACTTTTTACCACGGTACGCAACTAGCAGCCAATATTATTATAATTATGCACGTTGTAATCGTCGGATGTATTTGGCAGGGGTGTTGTAAATTGTCTCTACCTATCGGTATCAATGGACGGTGCTTATATAAAATGCAGATATAATATAATAAAAATAGACAAGTACCTACACTTTACGTCTATATTATAATATGGTACGGATTTTTATTTAATCGTTGAACAAAAGCAATAATCGTTTAATATTTAGTTTATTAAATTCCAGTCGTAACATTTATAATTTGTTTCAGAAACTATTTCTACTTATATAATAAAAGTACATTTATACATTTGTTTTATATAATATAATATTTTAATACATCGCTACCTGCTAATGTTTTGTCTTTAGTGTCTCGGTTTTACACTTTGATCTATAAAACCTATAAAATATTATACAAACAGTGTTTGATTTTATATTTTTTGACAAAAAAAAAAATTAGGCATTTTGCATATGCATGCCTTAACACGTGGAACGCATCGTATACTACGTACTTAGCTCTATCATCAGTTTCATAATAATAATATGAACAGAGTGATTTTTTCGTCAGTATATTATTGTATATAAATAATTCACAAATATATTTCATAAATAATAACAATATAATAGTAACTATGATACATATTATTATATCGCATACCTATGGAATAATTGAGTTGTCTTATTATTAATGATTACAAGTACTATAAAATATCAGTTTACACGCGTCATTGGGCGACATGTGAAACAACAACGGCGGAGGGGGCGGCGACGCGAAAATAAAAAGATTCCGTTTTAAAAAATAGTAAAATAATAAAACAAACAAAAAGTGTATTTACAACGAAACGCGTTTCGAATAAATAATACAATATATATGTTATTTTTTATGATATCGTTACAACATGAATATATTATTCGCGGACAACGCGGAATACATAGTATTATAAGCATAATAATATCGAAAAATTCTAACGTCATCGATAGCTCTGCATTATATAAATATAGGTTATATTTTTCGCTTATATCGCATTTAGAATAGCGATGGAATCATCATGATATTTATATCTAACACAACATTATCGTGTGAAGCGAAAATAATACGACATGTCACTGTGTAAGTGATTAAATGTGTGTGTGTGTGTGTGTGTGTGCGCGCGCACAGGCACGTATCATGGAGGGTACATTGGGTATAGATCCCGCCTCCTTAAAATTGTACAAGTTTATCCGGTCAACAAATAGTGGTCGTTGATAATAAAAATTGAAAATTAAAATATGCATTGAGTAATACAGAATTATGTAATATTATACATTTTATTTTGTGAAAATTTGGAGGTTAAGACCCTCTCGACTACGTGCCTATTTGCGTACGCACAAATGTTGTATATGTGTGTGTGTGTGTGTATGTGTGTGTGTGTATGTGTGTGTATGTGTGTGTGTGTGTATGTGTGTATGTGTGTGTGTGCGCGCGCACAGGCACGTATCATGGAGGTACATTGGGTATAGATCCCCCCCTCCTTAAAATTGTACAAGTTTATCCGGTCAACAAATAGTGGTCGTTGATAATAAAAATTGAAAATTAAAATATGCATTGAGTAATACAGAATTATGTAATATTATACATTTTATTTTGTGAAAATTTGGAGGTTAAGACCCTCTCGACTACGTGCCTATTTGCGTACGCACAAATGTTGTATATGTGTGTGTGTGTGTGTATGTGTGTGTGTGTATGTGTGTGTATGTGTGTGTGTGTGTATGTGTGTATGTGTGTGTGTGCGCGCGCACAGGCACGTATCATGGAGGTACATTGGGTATAGATCCCCCCCTCCTTAAAATTGTACAAGTTTATCCGGTCAACAAATAGTGGTCGTTGATAATACAAATTGACAATTAAAATATGCATCGAGTAATACAGAATTACGTAATATTATACATTTTATTTTGTGAAAATTTAAAGGTTAAGACCCTCTCGACTACGTGCCTATATTTGCGTACGCACAAATGTTGTGTGTGTGTGTGTGTGTGTGTGTGTGTGTGTGTCGTGTGTGTCACGTCGGTGGTGGAAGAGGGCGACTGCAGGCGTTGCCGCCGATTAGCTACAGCCGCACCTGTCCACCACCATGCCGGGCAGCATGCCGTAGATGATGTTGAAGTCGGGGTCGTAGTACAACATGGATATGGCGGACATCTTGCGGGGCGCGCAGCACGGTCCCGTGCCGAATTTGGTCATCTGCACCAGGTGCGTGTGTGGGTACTTCGGGAACAGCATCGGGTCGCACGCGCCAGAACAGTAGTTGGCCACGTATCGCTTGGGCGCGATGATCCAGTGCCAGCCAAACTCCTCGAAGTCGACCGTCAGCGGGAACCGACAGCACCGGGTCTCCGTGGACGTCTCGTTGCACGTCAGCCCGGACGCCGCGTTCCGCCTGGCCCGAGACCGCCGGTCCTCCCGAGTATGCACCTCCAAGTACGGGATCTAACAATATTACGGACCAATCGAATTAGAGTTGGCGACGACGAGTACGCTTGTTTTTGGGGTATACGGCGTGAGTGTGTGTGTGTCGGGTTGTGCACACCGAGCGGTGGAGGTATATATAATGTTATAATGTTATAGGTGTTATATATATGCTGTTGCAGTTGTTGCAGGTGTCGGTGGTGTTGGTGGTAGTGATGGGTGGTGTGTTATAACAGCGGCAACCGACTGCACAACGACGGCGCATCAAAAGAACTCATGAGCGACACGGTGGCGCACAATCGATGGTCGGGGGGTGGAAGCGGAGTGGCGGGAATGTGACGGTTGAACGGACGATAATGATTTTGTAATTTTCGAGAGTAAAAAACCGTAAACGATAGGTCGAGAGAGAGATATAGAAAATGAGTGAGTGAATGAGTGAGAGAGAGGAGAGATTCTGACGTGTGTTACACTTCGACTAATATATATAATCTTCCACGTTCGATTAACACACTCGTTTTTTTTATATATTTATTTATAACTATAATTATTATTACACATATTATATAGGAGGTACCTACACTATTAAATATTAATATTAAAATACGTGTTTACTATTATTATGTTATTAGGATACCCTTCTCGACGAGCATTTTCGATTTTCAATTTTTTTTCTTTCTTTAATCCACCGACAGACGGTCGAAAGAATATATATATATATGTGTGTGTGTAGTTATTACTTATTTCGCACTGCCATCATGCCTGTGGCGCGTACGATGACGTGCGTATAATGTTACGTTATTTTTTCGCGATTCGTATTTCGTATAATAATAATATAAAAGCCAGTAGACATTATTATACCATCAGGTGGGTTATACGCGCCGTAAGGTATATTATATTATGGTATGTAGTCGAGTGCAAAGTGTATCGAATTATTGCCCGGTCAACAGTTTTCTAATGCGCGTTGCTCAATAAATCGGTGGCGATGTTACAAAAACGTCCAAGTTCACCGGTATTATGATTGTTAATGTGAAATAAAATAAAGTCTACCGTTTTCTTTCCACGGGCAAATCCCCTCTCTCCAACCTACGATGATAATATAACATGTAAAACGAACCGCGCATAGTTCTCATATTATTATAATACCATACCACCGGAGTTATAATTTCGTTATATTATGCGGTTATTATTAATTAATTCACGATTCTTTTCATATCGTCATGTATGTCCGCCATATTATACAATAATTATACATTATAATCATATCATATTATACGTTTATAACATAACATAATAGGTATTCCATGATACGATAATACAATGTATGGCTGGTGAGTATAATAATAAATTAATTATAACTTACCTCGGTCATGTCTTCTCTTTTCCGGGCGTCCGTTACGTAAGGCGTTCTGACGTGCGTGGTGTTCTTGTTCACGTAGTACGCATGCACCACTAGCGTCAGGTTCTTGGCCCCGTCCGTGGTCTTGAACCAGTCGGACATGCGCCTCTGTAGGTCAATGGGCACCCAGCCCGCTTCGGTGGTGTTGAGCACGCGCTGCAACACGCGAAAAATGACAAATAGAAAACACGTGGACATTATGTGGTTATATTATTATGATATGTTGTTAGTTATTATACTCGCAACTTCGACGCCAAGTAATAATCGATTGAGCATGATGCTTAGAAAATATAAGCGATGCATATCTCATAGATAATAATATTGTGATATATTGTACATCGTATATTATGTGTTGATTGTCTGCGGAAATCGATTGCGACAAACTCTAAATTCGATTAGGTTAGTTGTTAGATTCATCAAGTCGGGGTGACTCACCTTTATGCTGGACACGAACGACTGGTGCATGTTGCTTGGATTGATTCTGAACACATCGATCATGACCACCGGGTCGTCGATGACAACGTCCAGCCGTCTCTTGTACAGCCACAAGATAGCTTCGGTGATCCTCTGCTGGCCCGTCTGCTCGGAGAACGTAAAGTAGAGCGGATAGTGGCCTCGTAGTTTCTGCGTCGTGGGATCTGTGTGCCACACAAAAACCGACCCCCAACAAAAGGGTGGCGGTCGGTATTTATTATTATTATTATTATTATTATTACCATTACACCATTAATCGTGTTTATTATATTATTATGAGTGTTCTGTTGTTGTTATTTTTGTTATTATCATTATTATTATTATATTATTATTGTTACGATCGAAACGCCATCATTATAACCGCGTTAGGCAGCCTTCAAGGGACGAGCATATCATCAACCCCGGACCCAGCGGCAATTTCCCACGCACGCCACCGCACCATCACGTGCACTGATAGTTTATAAACAACATCGCCCCAAAAATATTTTATTGAACTTTTACTGAGATATTTTCTGATCCCGTCAAGGTGTGATTAAGAAAAAAAACCCTAATAAAATAAATAATAAAAACGACACGTAATTCGCCTTGTCATCTTCTATATTACGTAATATAATAAAATAATATATTTTAAATAAATTATATAATACTTATTAGGTATAAAAAATTATGTATATTTATATACATATATTTTATAAGTATATATTTATATTTAAATCATGCTCATCTTATAATAAATGTAATCTGTTCGACCTTAATTTTGTAATGATGAAATGTGGACGGTGGGCGAGACGACAATCAATAACCATATAATGTGTACATTATATTGTAGACAAGACACGAAGGCGTTTAAAAAGAGTGCATTATTGTCATAGGTATGTCATGACATGAATCATTATGACTTATGTTTATTACGAATATAACATCATATACGTAAAAAATAGTAGAATCTTCTCGGTAGTCGGTACCCTATGTATGACTGTTCAACGTACGAAACTGACTTGATTCTATACACAATAAATAAGGCGCACACACACATTTTTTTTATAAGAAAACATTGTAGAGAAATCTAATGTTTTAAAACTAAATCGGCCGAACGTTTTTATTCTATTGATTTGTATAGATTGTACATTTTTTCTTCTCTAAATAAAAAAATAAAATAATAAAATGGTTCAAATATAGTTTCCCTATAGTAATCTCAAAGGTTAATCCAACCGTGTCTTTAAAGGACATGGTACATCAAGTTGTTCTAGCGTCACACTCATCTGCACACCATAGCCAGGTACCAGAGGTCTACTAATGGCTCAAGATCTAGTAGCTCAAATGGGTTACAACCACGCACTGGAAATTTAAATCCAGTTAACAATACATTAAAATTATACTTATATACATAATATGTTCTTTGGATTTATAATAAGACGTTTTTTTAGCATAATAATATTTGTACGAAGATATGACGTTTATTTTTCCTATTATATAGATGTATACAAATACACATATTTATCCAATATAGATGATTGTACAAAATGTTGTATACGGCTAACATGCAAAAAAAAACCAGCAATATGGGTAGTTGAAACCCCTTATTTATGGCTTTGCTATATCGAGAAAACCATTTCTTCGCTGTACCCCACGAAGCACCCACATAAGATATTGCTAAATATCCGACAGGGTTGCCCTCGATACTGCGGACGCGTTGTGCAATTTTATATTATAATTAAATGCATGTGCCTAAAATACTTTGTTATATCGGAAAGTGTTACATAGAAGTACCTATGCATAACATTATTGAGTTTGTGAAAGTGTGAAACGATAGACCCCGGACCGTCTCAAAAGTTAATAGACCCAAAAACCGACGGGCAGCGCGCGATCATCGTTCGACCGCCGCTGCCGTAAGGTTTCTGTCCGACCACTTGATATTATACGCGTTCTCTTCCCCTCGTCGTGTATTATACGCAACGCGACGCGATCGGTCACCCGACCGACCGCCCGCCTGTCTGGCTACCGGCTGTACACACGGCCAATTGACCACCACGCGCGTGACACGACGCGATTATCATAATATTATTTTGTCGACGAAGCGGTTGAAAGAAGTCACTGATCAAATTCGAAAACGACTTACAAAATAATATGTAGGTGTTCGCCCACATCGTACTCCCGCGGCACGTGGCGCATCTATTTTCTCAGTATATTATTCTAATAAATATATTATAATATTAATGATACATAATATTATAAAGTTAAATGACATCTAACGATAATTATGTTAGAGTTTGATAATAACGAGGGGTAAAAAAAAAATGAGAAATAAAAATAATAAAAAAAAAACGGAAGAAACTGGTTAAACTTGTCGGGAAATAATAATTACGCTATACATAATAATTCACATTTCTCGGAACAGCTACTTTATGGTCGAAGCGTTGTATTCGGCGTAAGTACGCAAGAATCTACAGTGTATTATATTATACCTATATATAATAATAATATTTAATGCACAATATCCCTTCTTCCGCCGTAACAATATTTCTCTCGTTCCTCGCTCCGTCTCTCTAAAATCTGTTTCTATCTCCGACATTATAACCACACGCAATACTCGATTTTCTACGTACATTTTTTATTATTATTAAATATTTTATGTACGTGCGTGCGTGTGTGCAGTGTGCCTATTCACGTCCCGTTAGAAAAAACTTAAACGTTAAACGTCGCATTTTTATTACGATGATACTCTATAATATGTGCACGAGTGGTGTACAACTCGCACACACACGTGCAACCCACATGCCTTCGAACAAAGCGTCCCACAGTGGGGAACGTTGCATTATTTGCGAGTTATATACTGCAACTAATCATCCGACGGACTGAGGTTCGCGCAAGATAAAGATGATAATAATATATGCGTCGCGTGTCGCACATGCACACATCTATATGTTATTTATAAAAAAATAAAGTATAATAGCTGTGAGTATATCGTTTTAATCGATCAGCACATTACGCAGTGATGGCGTCGGAATATTGCGGATTTTAAGTCGTTTTTTTTTTGCAAATCAATTTTATCATTCGAAAAAACCAATGACAGGCCAATATAAAAATAATAATAGTATACAAACGCAGCATCAAATGTGATAAAACACAGCAAGTTGACCCATAATAATAAATTAATATCGCATATTATAATACTACTATATAAGCATTTAAAATCAGAGGCGGTGTTTTGGGTGTTGAAACACCCAGAAAAAAATTCTGGCTATGAGCCTGCATACAAGAACAAATCGTTGTAACATTATAGTAATTATGTACTTGCATAGAAATAGGTATAATGACTGTAATACATTATCACCCTAACATTATTAGGGAGTTATACACCACTTATGACCCAGATCTGAAATTACATTTAAGACTGAATTCCGTACGACAATGATACGTCTATAGGCCTTTAATGTTTAATTAATTTGAGTCCGAGGGACTCAATTGTAATACGTTTATAAGTCCTCAATTTTATTACTTTTATGTTTTTACTTGGGTATATATTATTTTTTTTATTTTTACAAAAATATACAATCTATTAAATTAAGCACGATAAGTATATTATGTGATAAAAGGAATAAAAATAACATTATTGAAGTTGAGTGAACAATTAGCCACCCATTAGTAGCACTTAACTTGGAATTTACTTTACTTTAGGATTAAGTTAAAATATCTGTACGCCATTTTCTTTTGAGTCTGCTACGGGTCTGCTATGTAAGCCTTTTATCAGAGGATCTTCGTGGTTTTCTAATCTAATATAAAAAGTTTATAGAAGACAACAGCTAACAGTTTTGATGCCTAGATCTATACAATGGGTCAAATTAGAGACAAAAGGTGGAGCATTATTAATTTTCGGAGTGTAATATTTTGGAATGCCTGTATTTTATTTAAATTTTATTTTTTTGTATTTAACTAATTTGGTTCAAGAATTAATAAATTGTAATAGTTATATTTTATACTTATATAAGCTTAATAAGAAATTGTGAACACATTCATTTGCAAACGGACAAAATATGTTGTGATTCAGCAAAAAGTAATTTTTACACATAAAATGACATTGAATGATGACACACTACTATAATTTAACAAACACAAAAATTGTTTAAAAGATTATTTATATTTTTAAAAGACATACTCGTTTATTTCGAAATATTCTTTCATACAATTCACGATAATGCGATTTATATGTCAAACAAAAAATACATATTTGCTGAAAAAGACTATCTATAATATCTAAAGTGTATAAAACATAATAATCTGAATGATAAAAGATCTACAGTCTAAAGGTGACATTAATTTATTGGAAAAAAATAAAATAGTTTAATAAGGCTGTTCTTGAGAAAATAATTCATTTAATTTAATTATCATATTAACTTTTTATGATGACAAAAAAACTTCCAAAATCGATTCATCGTTCGTTTTAGACGTAATATATAGTAAAATTAAATCACTAAATGCTTATCGAGAATCGTCACACTTTGCCGCTCTCCACTCAGACTACCCACCGAACCACTTAATATAATAGCATAATATATATATTATCCCATAAAGAAAATACACAATATATTGAGAGAAAACCTTCCCTAAAAAGTATTCATGTTGACTTGGGCCTGCGGGTATGATATGCTCGCAGAATCCGTGACCCCGCTGTATGGTTATTGTGATACAAAATAAATGATGATGCGATTAAAATAATAAAATGTATGTATAAATACATAGTATAATGTGCAAGTACCCTATATGTTGTATACTTGTACGGGAAATTTACAAAACTCCTCCTCCATTGAGCCGAGGCCGGGTGCATTAAACTCCGCGAAAGATCGATCAATATTCCCTTTCCCTATATTATAATATATCGGTACACCCGCAGCTAACATTGTTAGCATACCTATACCTATATATATTTTAGTCACCGATCATTATGTAACCACACAGTATGTCTGTAAAGTAGGTACTATATATGTATTATTATTATTATATTACAGGTGTATGTTACTTAAGCAACCCTGAAAATTCGTACTAGCCGATGAAGGCGAATTATAGAGCTTCACCCTTAAGACGAAATACGAGCATCCCGGAATTGACTCAGACAGTTTTTTTTTTTTTGTTGTCTGTTATTGTATTAAGCCTGATAGAACACAGACATAATATAGGTACTTATAAATTTGTTGCACGTGCTGTAAAATTACCTAAGCACCTAAATAGAGTTAAGCGTGCAGTCAATTACACGTACGACCTCCTCCACCCATATAGATAATAAACGAATACACGGAATATATAACAACCAACGATTCTACTTTCGTTTCACCAACGATGAACTATAAATTATAACGCATAATGCTTTAATCATAATTCGTGAAGTAAATTTTTATTTTTTGAAATTGAAATAGTATAAAATATCATTTAGAATTTCATTTTGTTGTAAATATTAGATTTAATTTTGTTATATAGTGATATAATTTATAGGTGTGCGCATGGACGATTAATTAATTTAAAGTTCGTTAGTTTTAATTATGTATTTCATTAGGTTTTAATCATATTGAAATCGTTATAAAAATTACAATAGTTTAAATATTGTTTATCATATAAAAATTAAAAAGTAATATTAGATTAAATATTGAACTAGTATAATTCTATGTATGTAGTATACTATGATTGAACTATATAAAATTATTAAATATAGTGTAAAACGTAATATTATAATATTTTATTATCATCACTTTAAAAATAGAAAAAGGAACGTATAATTACTAAATCGTGTTCAATTGTTCATATATAGATGAAACCGTTAAATTAGTTAAGCCACTTAAAGTAACGTTTATAGACATTAGATATAACTTATAAAACAATAAATATTCAGCCCATGCATATACAAACGAATTTCTTTAATAACGTTAGTGTTACAAAACTATGTCAGCAATTACTAATTTTTATTTTTAATAATAATATAATATCCAAATTAAAGTTAGGTATAAATTATTAAATGGTTTGATCCTACCTACCGTATAATATAACTCCAGTTGTAATTTTAAGTGGGCTCGGGGTCCCGCCGGTAATTGGGTGATTCTTTTAAATTTTTAAATATAATTTTAAAAAAATAATAATTTACGACAATTATTAACAGTAAATGTTATAAAAGTTTTAAGATATAACAAGAAAAAATACGTAAATATGTTGAGATATAGTTAATAAGTGCAAGAGGATGAAAACAATTTATGCAATTTTTTTATGCAGTGCAATTAAATTTTAAGCCTATTCCTCAAAGTTTTGTCAAAACTGTTACTGTATAACTCATCTGCAGAGTATAATTCAAATTAATGATATTTAAAATATACAATTCCACATGTAATGATTTTGTATGTGTTGATTAATAATAACTAATAATTAACTTAACAAATTGAAAAATATTCATAAAAATTACATATCAATTTTATGAACAATAATTTCTTATGTATGTAATAAAATACCACAACATCGTAAGATAATAATAATAAGTTCTCCACTCCTATAAATTGTAATTAAATAAACATAATATTACATTAGATGTATAGTGTATAGAGATATTGTTTAATCTTCAACGTTCATGTTTCTTAAAAACAAAAAAATATGTGGCTAGTATAACTAAGATGGCTCATAATGTAATATAATAATCTAACGTAATGGTTTAAATGTACCTAGCTTAGTTTTTATTCAAAATTAAATTTTTTTTTATATATCTTATATTTTTAGTTACATATCATTCGGAGGACAATAAATAATATAATGATCATAGAGGTTAATTAAAAGATCGGGATGTTGTTGAGAAAATGTCCTATTAAATAGAAATTCTTAACCTGCTCTTACGAATGGATTCTAAACTTCTACAAAGTAAATCAAATGAATAAAATCATAGACACAACTGTCTATTCGCATTGTTGTACCCGGTAAATCACAATAATGAAATTCTTATTCTTAAAAACGAAATAAAAAACATTGAAAATATAAATTGCTCCTATGTCACAGATTCGCCTCAAAACGAGATATACAATTTTATATTTAATGTACCACTGTACCTACTACACCCGTATATTGTTACTTATATATGTGCCGAGTTTTTTGGGTTAAAAGAACTGAGGATAAATGATGACGATTATATACATAAATGGTTGAAAAACACCACTGCTTGCGAAAATCGTGAAGTCGTGTAACTCTGACGGGAACAGTACTTCATTCTTATACTTTCGGACGATGAGGGATTTAGAACGCGCTTGTTCGATTTCGGTTGATGGGCAAAAGCTGAGAAGAATAATTTTTTTCAAATAATATACGGTTATAGACTTGCGATTCTAGACCTAGGGGGTCGCTACCTCCTCGAATATGGCCAATAATTGTTCAGGGACACCAGCTGATCAGCACATGGTGTAACCCTTGCAATGTACAATTAAGACTAATAAATTCAGCTGTCGCAAAATAATCGAATGTCTAATTCTATACGTAGATACCGCTGAAATAAACATGTGGAGAAACATATCTGGTAAAGACTAAAGACCGTTCGGTGTTGTACTTACGCGGCTGAGCGAAAGCTATGAGCTTGTGCGTCTTGACATGATAGTCGTCGTCGTCGTCGTTGTCGCCACCGTTGTAGCCGCCGTTGTAGCCATTGGTGTTATCCCCAGAGGTCGAGGTGGTCGAGTAACCAGTCGCTTCGTCGCTTTGCATGTCGGCGCCGCCGTCACCAGCCGCGTCTTGGTGGTGCGACTTGTGCCGGATGTGCGGCAGCACCACCACCGAGCTGCTATGGTCGTTGTTGTACTTGCGCATGAGATCTTGCAGTGGTGGCAGATCGGTGGGCACTCGAGGTGGCTGCCGACCACCGAACTCCGGGGGCCGCTGCATGCCTAGCTTGTTCAGTATCGACGCTTTGATCAGCTCGATGCTCAGTGACTTGATTCCCTCGTGGCCCAAGCAATTGGCGCATTGGACGGCGGCTGGCGTCCGCGGGGACTCGTCGTCATCGCTGTCAAAGTCCTGCTGACGTTCGGCGGCGGCGGCGGTGGCCGCGCCGCGTTGTCGTCCACCGCCGCCGCTGCCACCGCCGCCACCGCTACCACCACCGCCGCCGCCGCCGGCCGCTAACACCATTTCCGCGGTGACCAGCAACATAGCGGCGACAGCGACGGCGACGACCGCCACATTCGGCATCTTCCAACGCATCAAAGGTCCTGGGGTTATCGTTCGGTCCACCGTTTTCGTCCGAAATTCAATCGCACGTCCTGTAACACAAAATATATTGTACATGTTATTATTATCATAAAGCTCACATACCGTCTCGGAATATATTTTCATATATATTATTCATAAAATACCTAACGCGTGTATTCGCAACAATACAAATTCAATAATTAATATTATCTGTACTCTATGTATAAAATTACTATAATGTTGTGTTATTTTAAAGAGCAATAGTAGTTGTATGTAAATTGTATATTGTTGCCGTCACCGCCATAAACTGTTGTATTTATATATATATATATATATTTAAGTATATACACACAGCGTTTACGTACATGTACTATTATTATTTACACTCGTTTGTTTTGTGTGTGAGTGTGTGTGTCTGTGTGTGTGTGTGTGTGTGTGTGTGTGTGTGTGTGTGTGTGTGTGTGTGTGTGTGTGTGTGTGAGTGGCGCTGCAAGAAAAAGATATTATTTTCTGGCGATCGGTCTCGAAAGTTCTACGCCCGTTAACCAAGTGCGTGCCGCATCGGCGGCGGCAGTGGCGGCGGTATCGCGGTGGCGGCAGTGGTGGCGGCGGTGGCAGCGGCGGCGGTGGTGGTGGCGGCGGCAACGACAGCCGTCGCGTATTCATGACGGTGCGGTGGCGGTGGTACGCACACACGTATAAGGCTGGGGACGTTCACGCGGCAGCCGACAGACCGTTACTGGTGTTTTCCCGTCCGTCCGCCATCAGACGGCCTCCGCCGCTGTCGTGTCCGGCCCGCCGACCGCCGCCGCCGCCGCCGTCTTCCAGCGCGCACTCGAGTTAATGCGTCTGTGATTATGATATAATATTATATCATGTGCACTGACTTAATATGCATGGCTAAATAACACTGGTACGATCTCAAACTGGACGAAATATCGTACGATCGCCGCTGGCACGTTTCCATTATTATTTATTACTATATAGGTATGTGTAACTATGACGTAAGCCTGTCTGCGTTTCGCGGCGGACGACACTAACAAGCAGACAGCGCGTCCGCAGCACACGTTCGTAGCACCAAGTCCAAACACACATAAGTGTATTTAGCCACGATACGTATGGATGAACTTGTGCGTGTGTGTGGGTTTGAGTGTGTGAGTGTGTGCGTGGGGGGAGGGGGTGCCAACTGCCAAAGTGCCGTATAAATAATAATACCTATATATACTAATATGTGTGTGCAGACTTAATCGGCAGATTATGCAACGAAATAAATTGGACCCCCTAACAATTGTGTTTGACCCTCCCACCACCCCTTCACTGAAAACCCGCTCAATATGTAGATAATAAAACCCGACAAGAGATTAAGTTAAAAAACGTATACCAAGCCTGTTTGATTTTGTTTTAATTTTTTTTTTTTTTGGAAAAGTTGTAGTATTTTACGGGTTCATATATGGGTACTTGCACCCATACTTAAAAAACCTTAATGTTGTGAATTGAAAAAATACTACTTAATTGTAAATAATTTAAAATTGATTAGCTGTCTTCTTTGCACCTTGTAAGATATTTATAACAAAAAAAAAAAGATCAAATTGTTATTTCTAAAGAAAAAAAGGGTTTCAACTCCGCATTACTTATATGGTGAAAATTATATACGGAAATATCTTTGCCCAGCGTATTTATTAAAAAATGTTGAGGTATTATTACCATTATTATCATCCAGATTAATTTATTTATACGACATCTCATATTATTATCGTCTATCAAGATAAACGAGTGTATTTCGTATTGTTCATAAAGAGTGAAATGAATCTAAATTTACATGATAAGTTAATTTTATTCAAACAATTTTACTTTTTATTTTTATTTTTATTATTTAGATATAATATATTGTTATCAACACTGAGTTATTGTAAAAACCGTGATAATTTAACAGTAAATAAAACAGGAATGTTACAACAACAACAATAAGTTAATGTTGTGATCATATTATAGTGAAAACAAACGGAATTTGAAACAATTAAAACGGTCCGTTTACTGTCATTCCCTTTGTAATAGATAAGTCAAACTGCCAGGGCCGTCAGAGCTACTTAAATCAGCAGATTGCAACTGGCCCGGTGTTGTATGTATGTACAGTTCACGTGTACGTGTTGGGATGTCAATTCACTTTCCCGCCAGTATATTGCTTTTATTGTTATATATATATATATATATATATATAGGTACTCACTGCCTCGTGTATTCAGTAATCTTTTTTTCGCTCTACATTTATACTTCGCATGAACTGAAAAACGCTTATTTATATTTAACACCCCCAGTGATGTGTGCGAAAAAAATAGCATCGTGAAAATTTGCATAAAAAAAATGTTCATATACTATGGTCATTGTATGTGTCTATTCTTTTAACGTACGGCGTAGAGGGAGTCTCTTCGCACCCTCCACAGAACTTCCTATTCATAATTTATTACCAAACACGGGAGTGACCGTTTCGACTTTAATACGACAATTATTCAGCCATAACCTCAATCTACTATACCTATATTGATAGTAACGTACATACCAAGGTGAATGGCAATGTTGCGAGATGAACTTTCTATTAGAACCAAAGTTTTTTAACCAACAACCCTTGTCCAACGATCATATTACCATATCACTTAGACCCGTCTACTTCAACCCGCACTCCAATCCCATTTAATGTTTAAATGCTGCTACAAACTCCAGTAATTGTGTACAACAAACAAAAAACTCGGAGGCGGTCGTCTCTCGAATACTCCCTTCGACACGCCTGCACCATAATATTATGTGCAGGTAAGTCGTATTTTATGTAATCGACGCGTAAGAAGGGTCAAAAACGTGTCGTTGTTACGAGTCCATGTATGCCTGAAGTTAGATACCACGATGATGATCGTCGTCGACGATGATTTTTAATGATGATAATGTGTATTTATGATGTAATGTTAATTTTGGGTGTAAAAATCAATAAACTTCAACTATAATATTATACAATATACCATATCAAACATAATATTATAAATGTATACATATTGTAAACATAACAAATATCAACTACTTTATACTTCCATCGAATTCCATTAATTTTGTTCTTAAAATATACAGCAAATAACTACTGAGTTCGCAAAGCGACTATACTGATACATATATACTTTCAGAAGATTATATAGAACAATTCAATGGTAAACTTTAAAAGTTTCGTGAGAAAAGTGATTAAATGGAATTATTTACCTAGTATATAAATTAAATAAATAATTGTGAGTAACATTAATCATTGTACAAATCAATAATCATTAGTGTAAGAATTTAGAATATAAAACAATTATGAATGTATTGATATAAGATCATATACAACGACCAAAATATAATACGATTTCAAATGCAAATAAAAAATACTATTCTTCCCAGATTTGATGACCACAATAACAAATTAAAATAATATTTATTTATTCATTAATTACTAATAATTAATATCACATTGATATTTTATATCACGTGAAAGTAATTTAATTTTAAAGTTTTCGTGTGAATTTAATGACTAATGTGAAATTAATTTAAACTTATTGTCATAAAATGTAGACAATTTAACAATATTTTCATGTTGTGAATTTGAATATTTTAAAAATGTTTTCTTATAATTAATTCTGTTTATTCATATATATTCATACTTAAATATATTTTTCTTTCATCAAAGAATAAATAATTATTCACGCCCTACTATTTATATAGCTGAGCTCTTTTCCAATATTATAGAACTATCTCATTACACCAACAACTTGAATCAGTAGCATAGACAGGATTATGATGAGGGGAGGGGGAAGTATAAATTAAACTAAGTTTATTACAGTTTTCGTAAATTGATAAGATAAATAATACATTCACTAGGGGGAAATGGCAATGGTTGGGGAGGTTAAACGCCAACACCCCCCTGGCTACGCCACTGACTTGAATTACCTACTTTAAAGGGGGATAGTGGGTAACTGTTCTGCTGTACAGTTGGTATCAAATTTACTTCATAATTGAGCAGTAAGTCACTGTAATGAATGATGTCTTAAATAATTACTGAAATAAAAATAAGAAAATTGATTTTGTCATACTGGTTTTGAAATGTTTTTTTGTCTGTGTGCACTTTACACGATAAGTAATTTATATAATTGTTTAATTTTCAACTTCAATATATTTTATGGTGGGACAGTGAAATTGGTGCGTTCGGGAAGTCAACATTTAAAATTCCAACTATATTTTCAAAAGCGCCGCGGGAAACAAAATAAAACTAAGTAATACGGTTTTTGACAAAATTGATTTTGTTTTTCTGTGTAACTCAAAAAAAATGACCGTTGATAGATGACATGTTCACTAAATGTTTATATTAGCATTTTATATACACCATAACATTTTAAAAATATTTTTAGCTATTTGTAAGGCATAAGAGTTTTTTTTTAAATAATTGTTCAATAAAAAATTGATCGTTTGGCAAAAATACTTAAAATTTAATACAAGGTTCTACTTAAGTTTTTGTTCATTTAAGCTTAAAGAAAAAACCTGATCCGGAAACTACAATAATTTTTATGAGCGTCTGTAGTTAGAATTTCGACAACATTCGTCAAAATCACGAGAACTTGCAAATTCTCTTAACACCTGATGTATAGCAGAACGTTACCTGCTAGCCACTAGCTTTGGTTGTATTGTCTCCAACTAATAAGAAAAGTTCTGAGATCAACTTTAAAAAAAAAAATTTGACTTTTACGATAATTTATTGCATATAAATTGCATGCTAATTGAACTCCAAAAGTTTTTTTCAAAAAATGTTGTCTACGATATTTTGGTAAGCCTTTTGATTTGAATCACAACAATAAAACAAAATCGATTTTGTGGACAACTTGTATTGCGTAAGTATTTGTTTTTTGGTTGGTTTATTCTAATTATTTAAGAAAGTACTTTTATTTCTTTCATTCATATACTTTTGACATCTAAAGTATAAACAGTATCCGATTTGCTACCAAAAAGTAACCACAATCAAAGTTGAAGATTGAAGCATTTTTATTTTGTTCTGATTCAAAAG